TTGGATGTTTCCTTTGACTAAAGTGCCTAAATTACGCTCTGAAGTCACAGAACAGATATACGAAATATTAATAAGAAACATTTATAAGTTGTAATATTACAAAAAAATAATAATAGCTTTTATCCATACTTAATTTCAAAAATTTTTGTTTTTTTAGTTTTTTTTATAGAAATTTTCTAAGTTTACATGGGGTGTTTGTACACGGGTCATATAAATATAATTTTTAATAGACTAATTTTTTGTTTTTTAACTTGAAATTAAATGCTACCGACATTATACTCTTTTACTTTTTATTCTTATTATATTACAGATAAATATATGTATTTTCACCTGCTCTGCAAGTTTACTTAAGGCATTAAAGGAGGTTTTGAATGCCGTTTTTAATCTACTAATATGACCCGTGTTTAAACACCCCGTGTACAAATAGAAATTGCTTTTTTTATATACATATTTTATAAAAAAAATTAGCAGACATGAAAAATATTTGCTTATTAACCTTAGTAAATTTTGAATTTTTTATCTGACCTATATATATATTGTTCAGGGTCCTATCTTACCGCCATTCAATTCACCTTGATGAGACAGTCCTAATGGTATAAAATATATCAAAATCCAATCACTAGATTAATTTCCAAAATTAAAAAAAATATTAATGGTTTTTGTATAATAACTTTGATAATATTGATTCTAGAGAGATGATCTTACTACCATTCGATTTATCTTGATGAGACGAATTTAATGGTATAAGATACATCGAAATCTAATCACTAGATTAATTTCCAAAATTAAAAAATATTAAATGGTTTTTAAGCAGTAATTCCGTCAATATTAATCACAAAGAGATGAGCTTACTACCATTTGATTCGTCTTGATAAGGTGATTCTAATGAGCTACTATTAATCATTTTTTACAATTACTAAGTACTGAGAAATTTAGCAAAATGTTATTTAGCGCAGTAAACATAAATTAAGAAATATGATAATGCTGATGTTTAACATTTTGTTGAATAACTTATCGGCCAGTGATCGTAAAAGAATAAAACTAAAACTAACTCTCTTCCGTTGCCTTCACAACAGTATTTTGTTGGAAAAATATTTTTATTTTTCTGGTTCTTCTCTTCTTTTTTTTCTTTTTCTTTGGGCCTTTGGCTTTTAGAACTTGTCCAGAATAATTTAAATACTCTCTTTGTATTATTTTCTCATTTTTTGAGAGTCCTTTTTCTTTAATTTTATCGTTTTTCTTTGGTCGCCTTTCTTTTATGGGACGAAAAAATTTTAATTTTTCTTGTTCCCCTTCCATACGACAAACTAATAATCCAACTAGGCCTATACCTCTTTCACCTTTTGTTGCTTCGGAATAGAAATAGTGTCATCTTGCTTTTGACTTATTTCTTGCTAGATGTTTCTTCTTTCATACTCCTTCATATAGAAATTGAAGAAAAGTTCTTTCTAAAGCTGAACTGCTTAAAGAATTTGACTCTACATTTACTTCTCTTTCTTCTCCTAGTGATGCTTGTATTTCTAATTGTAGAAAATTGCAAGATTCTCTTTCTCGTATTTGCCCTTTCCTTTCTTGTACTTAAAAAAAGGATTTAGCACGTACCCTTGTTAAAAGATTGATACTTCATAAATCACGTATTCTCATCATATTCGTCCAGAATCTTCAAATGATTCTGTACCTCCTGCATTTACGCCTTCCTATATTTACGCCTGATGCTCATCAAGATGAAGATGATAATTATCTTGAAGATTTTCCTGATATGGCATCAGATTTGATTATTCAACCAGTTATTTGTGACCCTGCTTTTCAAAGAATTTGTTCTACTGTACCAGACCAATATACTTATAGCTGGTGAAATTAATGAAAATCTTCTTCTTGGTTCTCTCAGCTATTCCATATGTGCTCCTCCAACTGCTTCTAATAAATCTATTTCAGATATTCTTTCTCCTTCTCTGGTTAAATTGGTAGATAAAGACTTTTCTTATTATACTCTTTTGGATTCTAATGAAGTTTCTAATTTGATGTCTGATCTAGGTCTATCTTCTTTTGAAGCTACCCGTAAGGCTGCTAAATTTGCTGCTGTTCAAGTCTTTGCTAAAAATCAGTTTGCTTCCCCTTTTTCAGTTACTCCTCTTTGACAGGTTGAATCTTTTATAGATTTTGATGAACTTCTCTCAGTTTATGATGTCCTTTACTATCACGCTCTTTTGATACTTTTACTTTAAATTATGATTCTGATGATAAACCGTATAATTCAGATGATGATCCTCAATTTTCTCCTTCATTTTTTGATGATATTTTTTCTACTTTGGATCCTCTTTCTGTATCTGCTTTTCCTCCAATTATCTTTTTTTCTTTTTGCCTGGACTTTTGTCCTTTGGTAGCAGTTTTCACTAAATTGATTTCAAATGTTTTATTTGATTTTACTTCTCTTATTGTCAACTCTTATTTCAATTTTTTGAAATTTGATCATCATCATAAATGGAAAATTTATCGTTCCTCTCTCTTTCCTGTTGTAATATTTGTCAGTTGGATATTTCTTACCTGTTCTCTTTGGTTTCGGTCTCACTTAAGAATTATGGATGGTCTT